CACTCCTCATCCCTACTCTCCTCTCTACCTCACTCCTCCCTCTCCTACTCTCCTCTCTACCTCACTCCTCCCTCTCCCTACTCTCTACCTCAATTTGTGCCCAACTGTTGACGCCCGGACGGACGGACGGACGGACGGACGGACGGACGCACGGACGCACGGACGATCATGCGATTCTACAAGCTGCATCTGACTATGTCAGATGAGCTAAAAACGAAATTCTCGATGCTAGAATACCTCCTCTCCATTTTAAATGCATATTCATCAGAAAATATAACTCCTCTGGTGAGATATTGCGCATGCGTTTACACACTAACGTAGCTAGATTGTGTACTGACTGCTATATGCAGTGGGGACCTTACATGCAAGTTCTGCTTCCTATTTCTGAAGTGAGGTCTACTGATAAAATTTTCTTATATATATCTATGATAAGATAAGCCCTCTTCATTTTAAATTCATAATTATTGCAAAATATTATTATTCTCGGGAGATATTGCGCATGCGCGAGCGCCGTTTCAGTTGCGCAGTACGGCCTAAATAAAAGTACATAGTTACCTATACTGACTGGTGTATGCAGTGGGGACCTTGCATGCAAGGTCTGCTTCTTATTTCTGAAGTGAGGACTACTGATGAAATTTTATCATATAAATCTATGTTAGGATAATCTCTCTTCATTTTAAATTTATAATGTTTGCAAAATATTCTTCTTCTCGGGAGATATTACGCATGCGCGATCACAGTTTCAGGCGTGCAGTACGGCCTAAATTAAAGTACGTAATATAGCTTGCTGAGGGAGAGAGGGGAGGGAAACTCAGGAAAGGTGGCAGGAAAAACAGTCGAGGGGCGGTGGAAGGAGAAGGAGGCTGAGCGTGCGACAATGGAGACAAAGGGAAAGGCGGGCGGGGATAAAGTAGGAGTTTTGCATCATACAGGCTAGGGCGCTCTCCTAACTATAAACACAGGTCTACGTATAAGAATTTATTACAGAAACCTATGCTGTGATACCCCCTGACCATATTAAATGCATTTTCATCACAAAGGATAGCTCTTCTGGGGAGATATTGCGCATGCGCTAAAACAGTAACGTAGCCAGGTTATGTACTGACTGGTATATATGCAGTGGGGACCTTACATGCAATGTCTGCTTCCTATTTCTGAAGCGAGGTCTACTGATGAAATCTTATCATATAAATCTATGTTAGGATAACCCCTTTTCATTTTAAATTCATAATGTTTGCAAAATATTCTTCTTCTCGGGAGATATTGCGCATGCGCGATCACCGTTTCAGGCGTGCAGTATACGGCCTAAATAAAAGTACGTAATATAGCTTGCTGGGGGAGGGAGGGGTCGGAGACTGACGGAAGGTGCCAGGAAAGCGATAGTCGAGGGGCGGTGGAAGGAGAAGGAGGCTGAGCGTGCGACAAGGAAGACAAGGGAAAGAGCGGGTGGGAATGAAGTAGGAGTTCTGCACCCTACAGGCTAGGGCGCTCTCCTAATTATAAACACCGGTCTACGAATAAGAATTTATTGCAGGAACCTATGCTGACATACCCCTTGACCATACTAAATCGATTTCCCTTATATACATATCTACTTATAAAATTTATTTCAGAAATCTATATTGAGATATCCCCTAACCATAATAAATGCATATTCATCAGAAAACATAGCTCCTGTGGTGAGATATTGCGCATGCGCTAACCCTCCAACGTGGCCAGACTGTGTACTGATTGGCATATGCAGCGAACACCTTACATGCAAAGTATTCGTCCTATTTCTTAAGTGAGGTCTACGGATGGTATGTTATTATATAAATCTATGCTGGGATACCTGCTCTTCATTTTAAAGGCATAATTTTTGCAAAATATTATTCTTCTTATGAGATATTGCGCATGCGCGAGCACCGTTTCAGGCGCTTAGAACGGACTGAAGCAAACTGCACAATACAGCTTGCTGAGTGAGAGAGGGGTGGGAGACAGAGGACAGACGGCAGGGAAGATAGCTCAGGGCGGTAGACGAAAAAGGAGTCTAAGCAAGGGGCAAAAAAGGCGGTGGGAAAACGGGAAGGGATGAAGGAAGAGTTTTGCACCCTGCAGGCTAGGGCGCTCTCCTAATTATAAACACAGATCTACATATAAAAATTTATTTCAGAAATCTATGATGAAATACCCCCTAACCATAATAAATGCATATTCATCAGAAAACATAGCTCCTGAGGTGAGATATTGCGCATGCGCTAACCTTCTAACGTAGCAAGATTGTGTACTGACTGATAGAGCCTATATGCAGCGGGCACCTTACATGCAAGGTCTTCGTCCTATTTCTTAAGTGAGGTCTATGGATGCATGGTATGTTATCATATAAATCTATGCTGGGATAGCGTAATATAACTGCATAAGCAAACCGCATAATATTATATTGGAAAACATGGTAAAATTCGGCGACCGCCTGCGTATTTGCGAATTGCAGAGCGCCGTCTCTTTCGGACGGCCGACGGCGATATGCATGTGCAGCGGGCACCTTACATGCACATTCTTCTTACTATTTATTAAGAGCGGTCTACTGATTGAATGATTTCATGTAGATCTATGCTAGAATCCCTCTTCATTTTAAATGCACACTTTTTGCAAAATATTCTTCGTCTCGAGAGATATTGCGCATGCGCGAGCGCCATTTAATGCGTACAGTAGGCCTACGAATTGGAGAAAAAAACTGAATAATATAGCTTTGATTGAGATTAGAGGGGTGGGAGGCTAAGAAAAGACATGCCACATTCCCAATAAAATGCTCAACGTCGACCCTACGTCATTTGACTCATTTTTCTTAGGTGACAGGTCGCCGACGTTGCCGCGCTGTATCCCTGTGCATTAGTGTAGCAAGGGTCCTTCCACAGAGCAGTGTCACCACATTGACGTAGCAAGGTTGCAATTTGCGATGCGCACCTTGTGTAGGCATCCAACACTCCTGATTAAATGCTTATCGGTGGCCCTACGTCATTTCCGTTGGACGACAGGTCGGCGACGTATCCGCGCCCTATCCCCGCATTGGTATAGAAAGAGATCTTCGGCAGAGCAGTGCCACCACATTGAAGCTGCGAGTGTGCATTCTTCAATGCGCACCTTCTCTAGGCATGCTTAACGTTAGCCCTAACGTCATTTCAAAATTCACAAAGTTCAAAATTAAAGTTCAAAATTAAAAAGTTTATTCCTAAAGCCCTAAGTCATTTCCTTTGGGCGACAGATCGCCGACGTGTCCGCGCCCTATCTCTGTTCATAGGTACAGGAGTGGATATTCCGCAGATTTATACAATATAACAAGATCCGTAAACAATGTAACATTATCCGACATTATATATATTTTACAGTCTGTTTGACAAAACATTGTTTATTACATACAATAGCAACACTTACACCGTGCGCGACGGGCTTTAGTGCGAAGGGCTTTAGCACAGTGATATATATATATCCATACATAATCGCCTGTCTACTATCTACCTACAGGCATACTCTCGCTATCGAGATCCCTCATTCCCCTTAGACTCTGGAGAATCGAGATTTTACTTTCGTAATTCACTGCTGTTGTTAAAATCTTTCAGGGAATACCGTAACATTGTTCGCACCACGTCTGACACAGACGTGGGGGTATTTTATTCTATGAAATTCAGATATTTAATATGTTTCATTGCAGGTTTTTGATTTGACAATTTTTTTTATGGGCTGACTGCTGTCCGTCATGCCCGCATAACTCACAAGCCCTGCTCGGTAATAATGCAGACACAGACATCGATGTAGACAATGTAGGTACGTATGTACAGTGCGTCCGTAACACGGGTTTCCGTAACACGGGTTTCCGACAATCTCCACGTGCCACGTGCGTAGCTCGACCCGACCGATCTTCCGGTCCGCGCCATGTTAAAAAATCGAGAAACAACCTTGCCAGGTTCAACTGCCGTGCGTTATAACGTGTTACTGTGAGTTTATACATAGATTACATCTTTATATTGTGTATAAATTTATTATATCGAGAGATAGCGAAGACTACGAAGACATAACGTGTACGTAGTGTTTCACTGTTTGAGTAACATCGTAGATGGAAGATTTTGATACCACGACTGGATGAAATCACGGGAGCGAGAACTATATATCGTGCGGTACGTGTTACGTTTTTAAAAATATGAGAATAATGGTACATCACTACATGCATGTACATTCATTCTCGATCTCGTGTATTTGCCCGTATATAAAACATGAACTATATATATCCTCAGTGGCGTAGCCAGCAATTGGAAACAGGGAGGGCCAAGGCGAGGGAGCGAAGCGACCGAGGGGGTAGGGTGTGGGAACATAATTTCGGCCCATAGTATATGACAGAAGGATTCGTGTTAACGTTAGAAGTTCATAGTTTCAATACAAGGTATATTGAGATGTCTATATTTAAACCGAGGGTAGAAAGCAGTGGGAAACACTCTTACCTATACTAAAATTGAAGCTTGGAACTCTCTACCACCGCAAGTTAGTACAAATTCTGTTTATTCTAATTTTAAGTATAGTGTTAAAAAATGTCTGATGGAAAAGGTAGAAACATTATAGGCAGAGGAGTATATGATTTTCGCTAAAGGAATTCGTTTGAAATTAGGTATAAGAAAAGTTTGTATCGTCTTATGAGAATGTACCATTGTATGACTGGTTAAAACTACAACTTTTACTAGGCAATTTTATGAATTCAGAATTTATTGTAAAAGTATGCTATGTATTGTATATGATGGATAATTGCCTAAATATATAAAAGCGAGATACACAGAACTCGCGCCTGCTTGTTGCTTAATTAGCGAGGGGTTTAAAAGGGGACTTTACGTACTGAAGCGCACACAAGTGGTCCATTCACCTGTCTATCAAATAACTTAATTACTTTTATATAAAACACAAGTCATATATCACTTAGCATATATAATAACAGTGATATTTATAGCATCACATGCACAATGCATTAATTATGTTACCTGTAATCGTGGCGGTTGTAGGCGATAACGGAGAATGAAGAACGGGCCGTGCACATTCCACGAGAGAAAATGGAGTACTGATCGATCCGGAGAACAAAGACGTCACGTGTCCGAAGCCAGTTTGGCCGTTACTCATTACTCAAAATAATTTAAACTCCCTTTTTCTCTCACTCGCTCCCTGGCGCTCGCCCTCTCTCACACTCTCTCTGTTTCTCGCGCTCTCTCTCGCGCTCTACCCCTGTCTCTCTTTCTCTCACTTCATGTCTATCTATCTCGTTCGCTCGTTTGCTCTCACTTTCCCCCTCTCTGTCGCTCCTCTCGTGCTCTCTCTCGCCCTGTCTCGCCCTCTCCCTCTCTCCCACCCTCTCTGTCTCCATATATCTTTCTCGCTTTCTCTCTCTGTCTCCCTCTCAATCTATCTATCTATCTATCCATCTATCTAACTCTATCGCCTTTGCTTGCGCTCTCTCTCTCTCTCTCTCTCTCTCTCTCTCTCTCTCTCTCTCTCTCTCTCTCTCTCTCTCTCTC